AAAAATTGTAATTCCATGATGGAATTAAAAACATCAAAAAATTTTGTAGAAAGGTCAAAGATAAAATTAAAAAATAAAAAGAAAACAGGATTGGTGTGCCCTTTTACTAAGAGAGAGAAAAGTAAAAAAAAAATAACCACTAAAAAAAACTATTTATCGACAATCACCACATGCCATATCACGAGAGAGAGAACGAGGCAAAGCTTCTAACAACATAGCAAAACATCATATTTAGAGATGGGGATACATTTCATGTGCTGCTAGAAGATCACAGATATATTTTTTGATTTAAAAATTAATTAAATCAGATTGAAAAGTATCAAGACCCCTTATTATTATAGCGTTTACAAGACAACAATGTGAAAAGATAAAATCACCATAATACCCTTTAGTTATTTTTTCCGGTGGTGAAAATGTCGTTTTATAAACTTGCAAAAAATATAAAGGCATAAACACTCTTGTTTCGTGGTTTTTTTTAGCTCGGGAGCAAATAAATAATTATATTGTTTTAAAAAATTAAAAAGATAAAAATAACCTCTAGTAATTTTTTAATGAGTAGTTGGTGTTTTTAAAAAGATAAAATTACCCTCAAAACAAGAGCAATCAAAATTCTTTTTAAAGAAAAAATTCATCACTATACTGCCATAATACATGATGTAATATCTTTACTTCTATAATAATTGATATAGTAAAAAAGGTAAAAGAATATGTCTGTTAAATAAGTTTCCTTTATAAATTGATTCTCATTAAGAAGCCGTAACTAGAACAAACTAAATCACTCGAATTCTATTCATAGATTTACTCAATAAAATAATAACTCGAGCTCTATTATTAGGTAAACAAACCGAGCTTAATCACAATTTTGAAACTTAATTATTTTCATGAACAAGCTTGAATAATTTACTATTCAATTCGAAGTACGGGTGAGCATAAGATATTTTATATAAAAAAATAATCTTTTGAAAAATATATTATTTAAAAACAAGATATTATTATATAGTGAGTAGAAAGTAATTACATAACACACATAAAATGAAGTACAATGTGAATTTGACATTCAAAATTGAAGCTAGAATATAGTACTGAGATAATAGAATTAATTTTTTTTAAAAATAATATTAAAAATATTTGAATTTATGAACAAGTTCAAGGTGGATTGAAAAAGGTAATTATCCAAGCTTAATTACTATTCTAGAGCTTGATATAATTGTCAAACTACAATAAACACACACGAATTTTAGCTGTTTCAAATAAAATTACTAGTACTTGAGAATGGTAGTTGAACCTTTATTTTTTTACATTGATTTGATGTATTAATATTAAAAATAATTTTTAAAAATAAAAAAAATATTATTTTATATAATAAAAAATACTTTAAACCACAACATTTACAACATTCTTAAACATCCCTTTTAAATCATATAATTAGTGCTGCTGCTGACAATCACGTATGAACACTAAGATTTGCATCACGAGAAAGGGTCAAGAATTCATTCTTTGTTCTAGGGCATCAGCCTTACAGGTATATTTCAACCAGGAAAAAATGATCGAGCTGGTACTGTTCGCGTTCGAGAAGAAAAGCTGGGAATTTCAAGTTTAATTTTGTTAAAGAATCACTTTGCAAAGCATATAATTATTGCTTTTGATCTCTCTATATTCCTTTTTTTTCCACTCTCATGGCTGCTAATATAAAGCAGTCAAGCTGGTATAAAACGTATCTTGCTGAGAGGAGGCATATAGCATATAAATATTTTAAAACCATCCACTGCAAGGCCCCACTTGAAGCTATATCAATTCATGGAATCGATGAAGCGTAGAAATGTTTTCAATTTTGGACCTTCAAATTATCCTCATCCACGTTTAATTTCCATGGCTCCATTTTCCCATTTTAGCCTTAGCAAAGAAAAAAAAAACACAACTCGTACCTTTATTGTTTATTTGAAATGTAATTAGTTTTTAAATAAATTTTTTATTAAAATATATGGTAATGATATTTTTTTATTTTTAAAAAAATTATTTTTCACATCAACATATTAAAATATCTGAAAACACTAAAATCATATTAATTTAAAAAATTAATTTTTTTCAAAAATAATTTTAAAACATAGAAACAAACCTTTAAAATCTACTATACATAATGATCACCAGTTTAAAAATTATTATAAAAACACAATTATCTAACTTGGTCTAAAATTAGGATTATATATTTATGGGTTTAATTCTAAAATAATATTATTTTAATTTTTTTATTAAAATTATATTAATTTTAATAAAAACATTTAAAACAATATTTAAAATTAACAAAAAATAAATTTAATTCAAACTTGACCCAGTTAATAATTAAATTAATTTTAAATAAAATCCAGATGAAATTATATTTTGAATATACAAGTTATAAGATTAGCATGTTAGGTCAGTTTATTTAGTATTATAATAATTATTATTTTTAAAATATTTTTTATTTATAAATATTAAAATACATGTTAATGATATTTTTATTTTTAAAAAAATTATTTTTTATATCAGTATATCAAAATATTCTGAAAATATTAAAAATATATTAATTTAAAATAAATAAAAAATAAAAAAATTATTTTTTTCAAAAACAATTTTAAAACTTAAAAACAAACAAACCTTCAAAATTTGCTACTTTGATCACCAGCTGAAGAATTATTAAAATTTCATCCAATTATTTATTTTAAAATTAATTAAATTCCTCGCAAGCTGAGTTAAACAGTCATAATTATTATAAAAACACAATTATCTAACTTGGTCTAAAATTAGAATTATATATATTCATGGGTTTAATTTTAAAATAATATTACTTTAATATTTTATTAAAATTATATTAATTTAAATAAAAAATTAAAATAATATTTGAAATTAACCAAAATAAATTTAATTCAAACGTGACCGAGTTAACAATTAAACTAATTTCTAATAAAATCCAGATGAAATTATAATTTGAATATACAAGTTATGTGATTAGCATGGTGGGTTAGTTTGTTTGGTATTATAATATTAATTATTTTTAAAAAATATTTTATATTTATAAATATATTAAAATAATATTTTTATGATTATTTTAAATTTATTTTAAATATTTATACATCGCTGAAAATATTAAAAAAATGTTGCAAAAGTAAAACGGTCTAGTATGAGTTAGCTGTACCCAGCAGCGCAGACCAGTTTGCAGGGTCACATGGCTGACATCAAGAAGTGTCAGCCCAGTAACCCTACTATCCACCTGATTTTAAATCAAATCTTTGCTTCTGTTACTGTTTCGGATATTCAGCTTCACTGTGTTCTTCTCAAATCTAATCCGCGACTAGCAGTCGATCCGTACAACTTTGGAACTCATGCTGTGTAACCCAGCAAATCTTACTTTATTTTTTCATATAAAATAATTGAAAATTCAATGGGATTTAACAAACAATTTATTTTCAATAAATTTATTTATTTTTCCTTGCCTACCAGGCCAATCGATTACTATTAACTGCCTAATCATAAACAAGATTGGAAGATATCCATATTTGTAAACAAAAATTTATTAAAATTATTTTTTCTTTTGATTTTTGTATGATTATGTTATTCATCGAGAATCCTTTAAATACATGAAATTGCTTGGAAATCCTTAATATAGAGGATTATAATTTAAACTCTCTAATCCAAGCTACAAATCTTTCAATTTTAAATCCTAAATTAGCTTTAAATGTAGCTTTTACGAGAAAATATTTTTTTTAAAAAAACTATAAATTATAAATATTTTTACAATAATACAATTAATGGTATCATTGACTGCATTAACAAGCGGAGCCTTAATATTGCGAATTTATTTGAGCAAGTCAATTTAGAATCATAAGAGTAATTTATCTCATTTGCATTCAAGATTAAAACAATAAAGGAGTACAACATTTCATACTACATGAAATTGATGAACTCTCACCAAGTTAATGAACCATGGAAGTTGTTCATATATTTTCAACAATAAAAGAAGCACAAAATCCCATTACATTTAAGTATCTTGTAATTGATTGTGGATCTTCCTGGTCAAGAAACCAATAAACTCAAACATCTACATGAAATTGCTTGTCATACGTTGATATGATTTGCCATGGCATAATCTAGGAAAAGACATGTCCTTGATTCTTTTTTCAATTCAGAATACTAATGTTTTGCCTCCGATTTACTATTTTACAGTGATTGATTTATACACTGTTGTAGAGCATGTAGCTATGCAAAGGACGGCTAAAATGCAAAAGCAAAATCAGGAGATCATGCAAGATGTATCTTCTAAGATGCTTTAGAAACATTTTTCAATCATTCCATTTAGTGATTGGCTTTTGGATAGGCATGAATTATAGTGATTACTTTGGACAAGACAACAATGTGATTTCCAATTATCATTTGAAAGGTTATGCTATGAAAAAGGTTAAAAACAAGTTTTAGGCTCGTGGGCTCGGTGGTTTGTGCGGTGCATGTGATATGATTTTTTTAATTATAAATTTAAAAATATTTAGCTAATCAATATACATCATAAAAAAAACACCGTAAAAAAAATGTAGGTTACATGACAAGTGTGGAGGATATATAGAACACTAATCATATTTGAGTATTTTAAACTTATATTTTTTTTTAAATTAAAAAAAAAAAAAAAGATCTCTTTGGGAACTATCCATATGCATTCTTACAATAATTCAAGCAACTTAGTTGACGAAAACAAGGACCCAATACTTGTTTTGAACAAGACAGAATAAAGAAAGATTTCCCACTCAGGAGCCGCACACAAGAGGGGTTAAAATTATAGCATAAGCTTGCATGGGCGCCTAATAATTGAATCCATCAAAGGTCTTTCCTTCATTTCCCTATCTCAATAAAGTCATGATTCATTATCTATATCAAATCACTACAGTGCCTTCTGCCCGGCCACTCTGTCCCAGAGGGTTCCCCCCACTGCTGAGAAAAAAATACAATAAAGATAGAAAAGTCGACACGACCTCCGTGGCCCTCCCATCAGGCCCCCCCACACACACAACAAAAAAAAAAGAGAAATGAAATAATATCTAGTATATTTCATAATTGTCCAATGATAGAATGTAAAAAGAAATACTAAATTTGTATGGTGAAAATATGCCATATGTGCATATCCTATACTCGTTACAAAGTGCCTTAAAATAGTTTTCTTTCTTTCTTTTGGTTTTCGGATGGGGATACATCATCAGCCCTCTAAGTATGACTTTATGTTGGTTGTATTTGTGTTTTTTCTGCCTGTCTTGTCCACTTCAGGTCATTGATGAGACATGCTACCACGCCCATACAGAGAACAACCTTGGATGAACCTCAAAAGAAAGACAGGAAGGAAGAAAAAACAAGGAGGAGGAAGAAAAGATGGCATAAATCTCAGAAAATTTAGACATATAGAGCATGCAATTAGGGCATGCAATTCAAAGAGGCAGCTCCGAAGTGCTAGACCTTGCTTTATAAAAAGGAGTGGACACCATGTATTGATTAATGTATAATAAGAAGTTTCCTACTTAAAGAGATAATCATGTAAAGATGGTAGGGCACAAGTATAATCTTCTGAAATGTACTTTTGCTTTTGAAATCTTTTGAAAAGAATTACTACCTCCGTGCTTGTCACTTTCTCAATGTTTTGTGTGCCCACCATTTGCTCCATAGACATTGAAAACTAAATTATACATGCAAAAGAAACAAGCACAGCTCCAGCCACAATATACTGATACAATCAACCTGAGAGAGATGGCTCAATGTTTAAGAAGATGTCCTCCCTCTTTAGCCCCACTCGAGGCCAAACCTCTAACCTGATTATAACAAGCAAAATATTCATGAATCCCTCGTACACTTTCTGTTTTGAAAATACATTTATTCACTCAAAAACTTATGTGTTCGTGTCTGTCCATACAACCAAACATATTTATATCTTTTATGTATACGTTTCTTCTATCCTAGGACACTACAACCTATGTGAACAGCCTGGTTTTAATTGAATCGGAAAGATGAACTTAATCTTGGTTTGAAAAGACAGCCTCAAAGGATCCATCTAGCCATGAAACCAAGCTACTAGAAATACAGAAACATCCAACCAATTCACCATCACTATCTTAAGATAGCCGAAGCATGTCATGTTTGCATGAAGGGAAGAATAAAGAATTTTCAGGCTGTAGCAATCTTACTTCGAACCACTATATAAGAGGGGCATTTTCCTTTGCAAATTTGGTTCAGGCCAAATACAATCCACCCCTCAATTGAACCACCCAGGCCCCTAAATGCCTAAGCTTCAGCAGCCATCTCACATGCCCATGTCCCCGCAGAGAACTAGAGTTTCAATATTATTGCAAGGGGGAGGTTTGTCCCTGGAGCTTGACAATCGAACAGTTCTTTGTGACTGGGAAATCCAAGACTTCATGTGTGCACAAATATTATCAAAAACACAATGCAAATAATGCTCCCTCTTCTGGCACGTGGACCAAACCTGGTGCGGAGTGCAGACCACCCCTTCCCCCACTCGATCAAAGAGGTTAAGTAAATGAAAAGAGAAGGAAAAGACTCTGGGTTCAGCACTCCCTCCACTTGAGTTCAAAGGTTACGTAACTACGGAAAAAGGATAGCAACAGGCATAAAAAGGTAGTGTATAAGTACCTGTTGTGACATGCACATTCTTCACAAAGGGACAGGTGCAGACATTCCATGCTTCCATAACTTGCATTTTCTAAATAATTATCATGAACTTGAAATGATACCTTTGAACAGATGAAAGCCAGTTCTTTAACAGAAACTGGTGAAGATTCTGAGATTTATTAAGAAAAGATTTAATAGAGACCCCAAGTGGCCAAGCAAAAATTCCAAGGTTCTAATGACACATCACCGTGATAACTGATCTTCCAACAGTGACTGCTATAACCAAAAGATAATAATCCTAATGATAAATGATGAGATGCAAAATTGTAATTAAAACAGAAAATGTACCATTAAAATCTCACTTCCATCGCAGGGACTGCCTAATTCCAGTGTAAATGAGTCCTAATGACCTCCCAATCAACGTAACTAGGAAGAATGAAATAGCATTGCTGACTTTGTCAATAACAGCTCTGACCAGTGGCATCAAAATGTCAGATAACTCTAGGTATAGACTGAAGTAGTATCTCCTGCAAAATAACAGTTCCAGAATAGACTTTGAGAGCACATCGAAGATTATTAAAACATACAAGCATAGATTAATCATAGAGAATTGGAATAAGTGCTAATAACATCAACTTCCTACTGCTAGACTGGGAAGCAGGATGTTCCTACTGCCCATCATGAACGTGTTCAAGGTCTTAGCTAGCCAGGCATCACTGAAATTGTAATGAGTGCTAATAACATCGACTTCCTATGACTCCATAAATCTCCTACTGCTTGGTCTTCACAATAATATTTTTCCCTTTTGCAAAATGCAGAAAATAGGTATTAAGTGCATGCTACTGTTAGACACCACATGTCACATGATAAGTGCTAATGGTAGTACAGTAGCGGGTTGATTAGGAGGGAATCATCTGCCTAAAAGGAACCCTGGTGATTCTCCCAACTAGACCAAATCCATTATTACAACACCCCATCAGAATTGAAACTCTAGCAAGACTGCAAAAGAAGAAACAAGCACAGAAATTGGTTAAGGGCATAATACATTTGGGCAAAAATGTAAGAGATAAAAGACAGCAGGGTTGGTCCACTCTCTTTGTCAAGGAGATTCACGGGGTAGATGCGATTAATCTCGGAGGCTGTTTTTCACAATATGCCAGTACATCTTAAATGCAGATTGAGTGAATTCTCAGAATACACTTGGTTCTTTGAGTTGATGAGTTGCACTAGCACATCAACTCACATTTCCACACCTTTTACTAGCTATATCCTAATTCAGCAATAGCTGATAAACTTTCTCAACAAGCACTTCAACTTATCACTTGCAGGGTTACCTCAAACATTTTCCAGAAGCATCAGTTTCTATCTAACAATAACAGTTTCACCCATTCCATCGTCCATTCTACCAATCAAGGTTGTTAAAATGGCGAATTGACTCGTAAATTATGATTTTACAAGTCAATATATACTTATTGGCAAAATCACTTAAAAAATCAAAGACTGATAAAATCATACCGAAATCATGTAACATCGATAAAATACGGTAAATTCATAATTTTACGACTGATTTTATGATTTTACAATAATTCCAAATTTCAAATTCCAAATTTTTATTTTCCTCATGGCAAATCCTTGTGTTTACTCACTAACACACAAGCACTTATATCCATGAATTCTTTCTTTAATCAATAGTGCAAGGATGAAGGAAACATAGTCCTGTGTAAACCCTTCTTGACAAATACAAAATTGTCTATTATAGGTTAAGACTTCGAAAATTCTTATTGTATAGGGATATCCTTACGGACAAGAGTGACAAACTATCCTTTGAAGTCTGATCCACCATATGCTTATGCCTAAATACCTAAGTCTTTTCAACAAGTTTACAGTATTATGATTTCTCTATAGAAAATCTCATAACTTGTCTAAGATATGATCTAACAAGGAACCAGATTTCAAGATTAAAAAAATAAAGATCTTGATTTGAATTCTTTGATTCATTTGTTTTAGTTTATACAAGCTTACAATTCCTTATCTATCCACTTCTTGAGATTCATGGTGTGTAATAAACAATATCTTAAACTTATGAAAGAATAACAATAACTAAAAGAAAGCATAACAATATCAAGGAGTTATGTAATATTCATCAAGGCAAAAGACATCAGATAAGCTAAAACTATCACTACAGCTGGTTATGCATTTGGAGGGAGCATTGAAAAAGGTGTTAGCCAACATGGGAGCATAGTTATGAAGACATAGTTGTTTTCAAAGTTTTTCCTTGGATGTAGAGTCTTACCAACAACTTTCAACTTTTTTCCTTGGATCTTGCATGGTAGGATTTTATCATGCAAGAGCAAGTACACCAAATCTTTGTTGATGGAATTGCTTATTGTTTGTATGAGACATCTATGAAAAAAAAAAATTACTTATAATTTTACAATCCGAGTTTACAGAAAGTGTTTTTAACAACCTTGCTACCAATACATAACAAATCTCATTCTTTATGGTCTGCTTGGTGTGCTAGTAAAAGTATTGCATTTGCAATCATGAGGACACAAACTCAACTCTTGAAAGTAGGCATTTTGTGCGACAACATTAAACAATAATGCTTTCCGAATTTCATCTCAAGACCCCATTTCATTAGGATTGGGACCGTAACTTGGTAATGGCTTCCACATTCCCAATATTATCAACTCGCATGACAGTGAGTTACCCCAGTTAACATCCCTAGTTCAGCAACCCTCATGTTCTAACCTCATGAAAACATCTGACGAAGCCAAGGGATTTAGCTTTGGTTTGAGGCAAATATTTGAGCTCCAAGTTCTAATTATATGGGGTGTAGCCAATTCTTTGTGGGAGTTGGTTAAAGTTTTCCAGAATGCTAAACCAACTCCCAGAGAGAATGGGCTGAAGCCTAATCCCACATAAGTAGAGCTCGGAGCTCAGATATTTCTCTCAAGCCAAACCTTGAGGGTAGAATATTTGCCTCCTATTATTCCTTGCTTTAATATTTTCCCAAAGTCAAAGCCAAATCCCTAGGCTGCATCAACATCATATACACGTTAAAGTGTCAAATCAGTGATACCGTCCAGGGAGTGAACTTGGGAGGTATAGAAAACAAAACAGAAACAACCACCTTCTAAATTTACCATAGAAAGGCATGCTTATGCTATATGCAGGCAAGTGCGTGCATGCGCGCGCGTGTGTCAAGGTGGATGGAGGGGGGTTTGTAAAGCATAAAGACATACCACCCTGTCAAGGCCCTCAGTTCCTTTGTCCGCTTTACAGGCATAGAGAAGTGGCTTATGGCACTAAAACATGAAGATTGCATCCTTATGGATTTTCTCAGAGTAAGCTTCTTCCACCAAGTATGCTTTTCAATCTGATTCTCACAGGGTTCTTCAATGAATTTTAATTGAAGGGTACACAGATCAAATCGGTCCTCGTACATTGATACAACTGCCTCCAAATTTTGATACAGCCACTGATTCAGAGCTACCTGTTAACAATATTCTTTAGCGAAAATTCTTTATATTCAGTAGCAGCTTATATTAAATAATCAGAAAGAATTTCATTTTTTACTTCTTGGAAGAACTAAAACGACACAAAAGAAGAGAAAGAAGGAAAGAGGAAAGCTATAGAAATTGCAATATCTTTTCAAGTATTCAAAGGTGACATCCCTGACCACCAACTGAAACAAAAGTATAAGCCAATGACAGAATAGACAAGAAAGTTAACTGAGTCAGAAAAACAAGATACCAAAATTTTATGATATGCACGCAGTTAGCCCTGTATAGGGACAGGGAGTGTGTAAGGGGGAGAAAGAGAGAGAGAGAGAGTTTTTTTATTAAAAAAAACATAACAACTATTCCAGTTAATAAACCGGTTGTGCACTAATCAAACTCTCAAGCTAACCCAAGAAAACTAAATATACCTCATTCCGTAATCTCTGGAGTGCTCGGGTTGACATATTACACATAAACATATCCAGGCTGTTCATTTCATTTGATAAACTACCATCAACAGAAATAATCTCCAAATAAACACTAGCAATCCCATCCGCTAAAGTTATCACCAAATCTTCCAATATGGAATCTCCATGCAAAATAAACAATCTACAATCATAACAGCAACTCTTCCTGCCGAACAAAGATAACAGAAAAGTAAAGTAAAGCAAATATCTCGCCATGCATAAATGAAGATAAATTATACAGTGATCCAGCAAACAGAAGTAAAACTAATTTGAATTCCCAGACAGAAGTGCCAAAGGAATCAGCCAGAATGCCTTAAGAAATGTAAATGTGATGCAGTTTGTAATTAATTAAGATTCACAAGCTTCTGTGAGAAGCTGATAATGATATGTCCTATCTTAGTAACACTGCCATACGATAAGAAAATATATGTGATCCATGAACTTCAGGCAATTACATCAGAAACACATATGTTGATTTTCCAATTACCTCTATGCTCAGGAAACCTCTCCCAACAATAAAAAGAGCACACTGGAAGGAGCTTTTGAAACCGCATCCTTTTCCTTTTAACTAATCAGTACACAATTTGCTGGGTCCACTGATACTGTGTATCAGTGCAGAGAAAACACATAGAACACACCACCTCTGTAGCATTTGTCAGAGGGAGCTTATTTTAGAGAATTTTTTAACTCATTTTTTACACCATGAAAATTTTAGGCTAACATGTAACAAGGGTTTAAAGAAAACAGGATATTTTGTTAAGCAATTATTGAAATTTAGAAACAATGCTTTATCCTGGCCCTCGGAAATTATAGAAACAACTAGTAATCAAGGTGACAAGAGTACATTCATTTGAAACTGAATACTATGTGCTAAATATGGTTCTCAAGGATGAATCAAGCAAATATACATTAGGAGAGTTGATCAACACCATGGCCTTCAATTCTTTCTCGATCAGCTAACTTTAACAGAAGCTCTAGAAATGCACCAATGGGTATTTAGCCAAACAGTACTCTCGTCTTTGCAAAGAAAGGAAGAAGAAGATAATCATCAAAGAATCCTTCTGGATAAGATACATAAATTTGCTGTTTTTCCAGACTGAAAAAAAGAAATTATGTTCCTTTCTTTATTTTTATTTTAGAATAGTAACAAGATATCATGATGCTTAGTAACAAAACCAAAAATGGCAGAAAAATGTTATAGCCGTCCCAATTAATTGCACTCAACCCAAATTCTAAAGGATTCAAAATCAAGTTTTGTGGAAGAATGAGATGAAAATTCTACAGTAGTTTACAAGAGGAGAAGAAACAAGGCAAGAAA